AAAAAGGAAAAAAAAAAATTTGGGGTAAAAAAAAAAAAACCAAAAAAAAAAAAGCTTAAAGCTTTTTAAAAAAAAAAAAAAAAAAAAAAAACACACACACACACACACACACACAGATGAGGAAGAGGTAAACGGAGCTAAGATATGATGCTTCAGACATGCCTGCCATTGTGCAAACACACCAGACATTCACAGTGTATCCGACCTAAAGCAACTAAGCAGTCCAGAATAGACCCGTCAGGGTCACCGGCGCATGCAGACTTGGAAGACCCAACACAGGAGCGATTTAGTTAGGAATATCTGCGCTGTTGCTGCGGGTGTCGTATTTTTGGTGGATAATAAGAAGGACGACACCCAGGAAGAAGCAGATGGAGCCCACTGTGATGTAGGCGATACCCAGGAAGGGGTTCTTCCCTCCCATCCAAGAAATGGTGCTCAAAATCATCCGCTTCCGGCCATCAAAGCTGCGGACGGGGTAATCTGGTTACATGAGGGTTAAGGTAAAGAGACAGAAAACTCCCAGCTGCCAAAAGTTTAAAAAAAAAAAAGAAAGAAAGAAAGAAAGAAAGAAAGAAAGAAAGAAAGAAAGAAAGAAAGAAAGAAAGAAAGAAAGAAAGAAAGAAAGAAAGAAAAAGAAAATAGAGTTATATTTGTTTATATTTAGTTATTTTTAATTTTTTTTTTTTTTAGTAGCAAGAGCTTCAGCCATGTCGTGAAAGAGAAACAGTTGCAATTTAATCAGTGGCTTTTAATATCGTCTCTTAAAAAAAAAAGCCTGCAAACTGCTGATTTGAGTTTGTTTTCAATTATTCTTTTAATCTAAAACCTCATCTTAGAGCAGATGAACAAAACGGCGACTACAAAACCTAATTAGTACTGAAGATTTGTGCACTTATGGACACAGGTGGACAGCAATAAATTTTCAGAAAGTTCCTTTCAAAAAAAGGCGTAGTGCTGCAACGGCTCCAAATCCCAGACTGGGGATTTGCATGACGTTTGCATGTCATGGAGGGACATCCTGGTGCTCAGGCCTACTTTCACTGTCCAAAAAAATTGAATGTTACTTAATGTAGACATGCTATAAAGATCTTCTATACACTGTAGACATTTATTTTACATTTCAAAGGGTTGTTTCTGTTAGGTTAGGTGGTTGTTGCCTTCAAATGATGAAAGCCCTAAGTTCAGTTTCTCAGAAATTGGAATATCACATGTAATCAATCTTAATTCTGTATAATTCTGTCTTTATTACCCTTCCCCCAGCTGAAATATTCTGTTTCCCTATATTTAGTTAAATAGCTAAACTTGACAAAATGCTTACAGACTTTTTATAAATGAATAAAGAAATGATTTATCTTAGCCTTGGCTGGACTGTAAAGGATACTGTAAGTGATCTTCAAGACGTATTTGCCACTGGCTAGAGTCGGAGTTGAGTCCGGCTTCTTTTGGATGATGCGATAGAGCTTCCGAAAGGTGGGCAGGGCGGCTGTGCGCATCCACACGATGAAGTCTTCGTTGATGAAGCCGTTGTTTTCAGGATCTGACGGGTCCAACTCGTACACCGGCTTCAGCCAGTTCACTGGCTTAGCCGTGCCTGAGAGACACCCGATAGTCAATGGTAATTTAGTAAATACAAGTGTTAAAAAAAAAAAAAAAACGTATCGCAAAGTGGTTTCTAAAGCGTACCTTTGAAACGTTCAGTCAAGTTGTCCTTGTCGTTTCCAGGATTCCTGAACTTCACGTTCTTGTCTGTGTACCAAGCAATGCCCCTCTTTACCAGAGTAACTTTTGACGTGTTGCCGTCGGGTTGGCTGTAATACAGCTCCAGGGTGTCTGAGAAGATAAAAACCTCATTTATTATTCCTTCTGAAAAGGATGCGTGGCAAACGAGCTTAACTTTTAAAAACTAAATTCTCAAGACTGTTGTTCTGTGCACAGTTTTCATACAAAGTTTAAATGTGCCAGGGCTCACCATTGAAAAGGCTGTTTGCTATGGCTCCACATGGAGCTATGGGCAGCTTAGTCTCCGGGTTTGTAAGGTACGGCTTACATTCCTTGCTGGGGTTCTGGAAAAACCAAAAAACACTTTTCAGCAGAATGAAAATGGGCGATTTCGCTACAAGATATGCAAGAATAAAAAACTAGATATCCCACCGTTAAAGAGGATTGAACTCCATTTAGCTGGCTGTCATCTCTGGACTTCACGTAGCGTCTGTGGTTCTGGTAGAAGTTGGACAGACCGTAGTACATGTAGACATTGCTCTGTTGAGAGGGGAGAAATTATTCATCTGGGCCTACCTGTCACTTCTGCCAGTCCCTCCGTTTAAGATTAGGTTTCATCCAACTTCAATTTTAACAAAGAAAGTAGCCAAGAGGAGACAAATGGAAAGTTTGTTTTACCCAGGAATAGACATAAAGTCCAGGTTCCCGTAGACTTCCTGAATAATCAATAAATGGCCCTCGAAAGCAGGACTGCATAATTAATAACCACATAAATCGATATAAAAGCAGCTTTTAAGCAGACAAGTGGATGTTCTATTTTTGGACTCTAATTTGACTCTAATGGATAATCGGTTTTTTTTTTTTTTTTTTTTTTGCAGAAACAGCATTTGTAGTACTGAATGCAAAGGCTTGAATTATTTATTCATTGTGTCTATATTAGCCTGAACTGATGCAGGAAATTAGCTCACCTCAAACGGCTGCGTCAGCGTGAAGTTCACAGTGCAGACGCATGGTGTTGTGCTGTTCCAGGTGAAGCTATTGGCGCAGTCGTAGCAAGGACTGTTAGGCTCCACACCAGTGTAATCAACCTAAAATTATGAGCGAACACGCAGATGGGGAGAAATAAGTTAGATAAAAATGAGTGCCAGAAATTATGACAGCAACACTCCTGCCAGCTCCTCCAAGTTAAAAAATGTCTGTGCAATGTCTGTGCAATAATCACAGCATTTCCATAAGGTTCAATAAAATAGAAAAGTGTTTTGTTTTTTTTATCTTTGTTTTACCATGCAAAATATTACATCCAATTATGAATATTGACGCCAGGTGGCATTTGTTTGCCCTGGGATTGATAATGTGGAACATCATAAGTGTGACTAAAAAAAAAAAAGAAGAGGGACTGTTTAAGAAGCAGAGACCCAGATGCTGTGATTCAGACTTTATCTTTAAAGCAGTCAACTTGTGGCGGACTTGCTACCGATACCCACTTTACAATAAAACTGCGATCTGAAAGATTTTTGAAGCCAACATAAATAGCATTACGCTTTGAAGTCAAGGAAATCAAACTTTTTCACCACTGATATGAGAAGGTAAAACTGAGTCTGACAATATATGATGGCTGGCACTAACTGAGATATCAAAACAAGCTATTTGGTTCTGTATGCTTGTTACATATCTTACGATCCTTCACCTTTTAAGGCTTAATATTAATACACCGATCAAGCAAATTTTAAAACTAAGACTGTAACATAGGCAATGGCATAATAGCTCCTAACCTTATTTTGTTTATATCCAGAGATAGAGCATAATTTGTTTTTAATTTGTTAATTTCACACCACTGATGGTTTAATATTACTATTGTTAAGTATAACAAAAAACTAAAATCAACTTAACATTTCTGTTCATTTGTATGTGTTGTTTTAAGTGCCAAAAAAAAAAGCTTTGATTTCATTGTTATGAAATCAAACAATGATTGATTTCATAACTTTAGCAGAAATAAAACATATTATTTGTTTGTGTTTATTACCATTACTAGGTCTCCATTAGGGCTGTAGTGATACAGTAATCTTACGATACGATATGATACACGATATTCTGTCCACGATACGATACATATTGCGATATTCATCAGACGATACAATTCAATACACTTTTGCGATTTTCTGAAAGATTTTAGAGGGACAGTGTGTTTTTGGTGACATTTTGAGACTGTTATAGAGTTGGATTGAATTAATTTAACTGAAAACTGTTTAAAAGCACCAACTACACTATACCTGGCTCTGGTTGGACATGGACACAGACTTAAAGTTGACAGCTGGACAAAAAGANTCAAAGAAGTGGTGANA